CCCCCCGCGGGACCCCCCCCCCCCCCACCCCACACTGACAGCCTGATTTCAACTTTCTGTTTTATAATGGAGTATAAAAGCAGATTTCCGGGACAGGCTGATCGGATTCCCGTCTGTCGGAGGAATGGATCAGAGGAGTAAAGGAAGATTCTGTTACACGTTTCTTTTGAACCTGTTACATGGTCATCGATCGGCAGAGTATAAATAGCGCGGCGCTCTGCGCTCCGAGGACAAACGCTGCGACCGCAAGGAGTTAAATCGATGAACTCTTTCACCGAGTTCCCGAACGCACAAGGACGGCGAGGAAAGGGCGCAGCGCTTTATCAGATGGAGCTCCTCGTCCGCCCGGCTTCCGTATCGCTCTATCAGGGAGAGAGGAGATTAATTAGATGAAGAGCTATTGATTAGGGCCGAGCTGCCCAGCAATTCCTCCGCCGTATCCGGGATCTGATCCTCCGCAAATGAACTGAGATGTGCTGAGAATGTAGAATATCAGAGTAAAGCCCCCTTACTAATCACTCCGAGCAAATATAAAGCGGAACTCCGGGATCAGCAGACACTGTCCTCATACAAGAGTCATGTGTATTCTTCTTGGGGCTTCCTGTAATAAAGACTGTTCGCTGCTGCTCTCTCTCCTTGTACGGGGTGACTGGTCTTGTCTGCACCTCCCTCCTGTAATAAAGACCGCTCACTGCTCTCTCTCATTGTGCAGGGTGACAGGTCTTGTCTCCGCCCCCTCCTGTAATAAAGACCGCTCACTGCTCTCTCTCCTTGTGCAGGGTGACTGGTCTTGTCTCCGCCCCCTTCTGTAATAAAGACCAGTCACTGCTGCGCTCTCTCCTTGTGCACGGTGACTGGTCTTGTCTCCGCCCCCTCCTGTAATAAAGACCGCTCACTGCTCTCTCTCCTTGTGCAGGGTGACAGGTCTTGTCTCCGCCCCCTCCTGTACATGGTGCAGGACCAATAGGAAGGGGTAAAGGCCGGCCTTCAGTGCTGTAGTGGGTGTGTTCTTGACCTACCTGTGTTGCTGCAGGACGAGGACCTGTCAGTGCTGTCTGGCAGGAATGCTTGGATCACAACAGAGTCTGAACTGCTTTAGAGATCCTCAGGTAGGGTATCAGTTCCCCTTTATGTATTCTACATGTAAATATAAATGATCTTTGTGTTTCAGGCATCCCTCCGACAGCGACTCGACCCTCCCGAGGCCCTTCTCCACCTCCAACACCTATGGCTATATCTGCAGCCCCTTGCCCTCCGAGCTGACGGAAGAAGCGGAGGCGGCGGATGAGGATGACGACGACCTGGAGCTGGCAGAGGTCAGCTCGTTAAAGTCGTACCGCAAGTATTGTGAGACGCCTACGTCCAGCATCAGCGACTACGAGAGCTCCATGGCCGGCTCGCTGGTCAACGGCTGGGGGTCCGTGTCCGAGGACAACTACACCAGCGCCCGGTGCAGCATGGTCAGCTCCTCCGACGGCTCTTTCCTCATGGACGCCAGCTTTGCCAAGGCTCTGGCTGTGGCCGTGGACAGTTTCTGCCTGGGAATGACGCAGTCGGAGGCCACAGACAGACTCCGCACTGGTAAGTTGTATACATCCGTGACTGGCACCCTCACAGACCATGGGGAAGATTTTATAGACCGCTCAATATTGTAATTTTGGTATTTTAAACTTTACCATTAATTTCAGTTTGTGATCAGCAAATCAGAAAATGCAAATCTCGCTTCTCTGCAACCATGACAACAGTACTCTCTAATTAGGATTTCCCCTGATTCCTGTCCCTTGCTTTTATTAGTTCTGTTAATTAGTTTTTTTGCTTTTCCCAGGAGTCTTCATAGGTGTCAGGTCAATGTTTACACCATGGTATGTGTTGGCTCTCTATATAGAGGGATCAGGACCTCCTTCCTCCTGCTGGAGATCCCTCTAGTGATAATAAAGATCTATATAGAGGAATCAGGACCTCCTTCCTCCTGCTGGAGATCCCTCTAGTGATAATAAAGATCTATATAGAGGAATCAGGACCTCCTTCCTCCTGCTGGAGATCCCTCTAGTGATAATAAAGATCTATATAGAGGAATCAGGACCTCCTTCCTCCTGCTGGAGATCCCTCTAGTGATAATAAAGATCTATATAGAGGAATCAGGACCTCCTTCCTCCTGCTGGAGATCCCTCTAGTGATAATAAAGATCTATATAGAGGAATCAGGACCTCCTTCCTCCTGCTGGAGATCCCTCTAGTGATAATAAAGATCTATATAGAGGAATCAGGACCTCCTTCCTCCTGCTGGAGATCCCTCTAGTGATAATAAAGATCTATATAGAGGAATCAGGACCTCCTTCCTCCTGCTGGAGATCCCTCTAGTGATAATAAAGATCTATATAGAGGAATCAGGACCTCCTTCCTCCTGCTGGAGATCCCTCTAGTGATAATAAAGATCTATATAGAGGAATCAGGACCTCCTTCCTCCTGCTGGAGATCCCTCTAGTGATAATAAAGATCTATATAGAGGAATCAGGACCTCCTTCCTCCTGCTGGAGATCCCTCTAGTGATAATAAAGATCTATATAGAGGAATCAGGACCTCCTTCCTCCTGCTGGAGATCCCTCTAGTGATAATAAAGATCTATATAGAGGAATCAGGACCTCCTTCCTCCTGCTGGAGATCCCTCTAGTGATAATAAAGATCTATATAGAGGAATCAGGACCTCCTTCCTCCTGCTGGAGATCCCTCTAGTGATAATAAAGATCTATATAGAGGAATCAGGACCTCCTTCCTCCTGCTGGAGATCCCTCTAGTGATAATAAAGATCTATATAGAGGAATCAGGACCTCCTTCCTCCTGCTGGAGATCCCTCTAGTGATAATAAAGATCTATATAGAGGAATCAGGACCTCCTTCCTCCTGCTGGAGATCCCTCTAGTGATAATAAAGATCTATATAGAGGAATCAGGACCTCCTTCCTCCTGCTGGAGATCCCTCTAGTGATAATAAAGATCTATATAGAGGAATCAGGACCTCCTTCCTCCTGCTGGAGATCCCTCTAGTGATAATAAAGATCTATATAGAGGAATCAGGACCTCCTTCCTCCTGCTGGAGATCCCTCTAGTGATAATAAAGATCTATATAGAGGAATCAGGACCTCCTTCCTCCTGCTGGAGATCCCTCTAGTGATAATAAAGATCTATATAGAGGAATCAGGACCTCCTTCCTCCTGCTGGAGATCCCTCTAGTGATAATAAAGATCTATATAGAGGAATCAGGACCTCCTTCCTCCTGCTGGAGATCCCTCTAGTGATAATAAAGATCTATATAGAGGAATCAGGACCTCCTTCCTCCTGCTGGAGATCCCTCTAGTGATAATAAAGATCTATATAGAGGAATCAGGACCTCCTTCCTCCTGCTGGAGATCCCTCTAGTGATAATAAAGATCTATATAGAGGAATCAGGACCTCCTTCCTCCTGCTGGAGATCCCTCTAGTGATAATAAAGATCTATATAGAGGAATCAGGACCTCCTTCCTCCTGCTGGAGATCCCTCTAGTGATAATAAAGATCTATATAGAGGAATCAGGACCTCCTTCCTCCTGCTGGAGATCCCTCTAGTGATAATAAAGATCTATATAGAGGAATCAGGACCTCCTTCCTCCTGCTGGAGATCCCTCTAGTGATAATAAAGATCTATATAGAGGAATCAGGACCTCCTTCCTCCTGCTGGAGATCCCTCTAGTGATAATAAAGATCTATATAGAGGAATCAGGACCTCCTTCCTCCTGCTGGAGATCCCTCTAGTGATAATAAAGATCTATATAGAGGAATCAGGACCTCCTTCCTCCTGCTGGAGATCCCTCTAGTGATAATAAAGATCTATATAGAGGAATCAGGACCTCCTTCCTCCTGCTGGGGACCCCTCTAGTGATACACCTCAGAATTCTATGCTCTTTCCCCCAAACTTTCCCCTTTGCAGTTCTGGCCAGCACTCTCCCCCACCAGTGCACTCTATCGGAGGATTATTTTGCATTTAGAAACTTTGAACTGCAGTTTACGATGCTTTGTCCAATCTTCCAGCAACAATGCTAAACGATGTTCCACATTACAAACGCCTCCAGGAATACAACTCTATGGCACACCTTTCCTCAGCAACAGTTTATGCCTTGCCCACCAAACCTTCCGTTATATATCACTTACAAACGGATTACATTGGACCAATAAGAGGACTGTGGTCTGTGGAGATATCTTCCCACCAGCACGCTGATGAGGATTCAGCACTTTACAAGTCTTGAGTAATATGAACAAATCAAACACACCTTATCGAAAATCCAGAAGCTCAGCAGCCCAACACCCCGAATAGGTTACATTTAGGCGGCCCCTTTATTCCATGTTGGTATATTTATTTAGCTGTGCACACATGATTCCCTATTAGCCCGAGTCTGCTGAGCCGAGCTCCCCGACACCTTTCTGGGGGTTGTAGTGCCATGTGTTACATCAAAGAATATTACTTTACACAGCAAAATACAGCAAGGTGAGCCAGGAGAGAGAGCGAGGAGAGACAGCCAGGAGAGAGAGAGAGCGAGGAGAGACGGCCAGGAGAGAAAGGCGAGGAATGACAGCCATGAGGATGAGAAAGGATAGACAGCCAGGAGAGCGAGGAGAGATAGCCAGGGCAGAGAGAGAGAGGGAGGGAGTTTTTTTTTTGTTGGTAGATCTCATGTAGCTCGTCATTTGAAAAGTAGATCTCAACACAAAAATTGTGGGCACCCGCTGCCCTAAGCCTATTGCCATAGTGCTGGGGTCACTATGGCGATAGGATTGATCAGATCTGCACATTGTCTATGTTGTAACACATTATAATACACTTGAAAGCATGATAGAAATATGTTGTAAATAATGTTTGTATAAGCTATTCAGGAAACAAAAAATATCCTATTCATTTTTTTGGTAGGCGCTCATGTCAAAGGTGCCCATACAATAAATTATGGCAAATACAGTACAATGTATCTAAAGCCAAAATTTTTGTGTTTTAGTTCTGGACACAATCTGGAATGCTTAGAAGTGATGTTCATGTTTTTTTTTTTGCTATGAGCTTCAAACCAATGATCAGAAAATGTACACAAGTTTTATTTAGTTTATATTGAGATGATGTGTGACAACCAGCAAGTTTCATGGGTTCTAATG